CTCGTTATAACAGGACAATATTTAATATCATTATTTCAATAAGCTGTCCTTCATGTCGGCGCGTGTCAAGAGGGAGTTCCAGGGATTCTAGACCCCCCCCCCCCCCACACTCGCACAGAGCATATTTTGATTCATGCATTGAAATATCGCCGAACAAACATACGTGCGAAACATTGTCGCTATTTTGGCCCGGCCCCACCCCACCCTAATCATATACATGCATGCAACTAATCTCTAGACCTCACGCCAAACTTGACACTGTCTCCACTTCAGGTCCAATCCCCCTCTCCGTCGCTCGCTCCTTAAATTTCTGAACACGCCTCTGTGATGCCAGCTTAAGTTCTGTTATTGATTATAAGTTGATGTCTCTGAAAGGGTGTTTTTTTATTACCCACCTCCAGTGGAAATTAATGGAAATGTCTTAAAGGCCAGAAGAAATCCCATTGTATCATCTGAGGCTTTATTTGGAGTCTATACAAATACAATGTTTAATCTAAAGTGAAATGGAATAATCCCGATCTAGATTCCTAAACTTGAATATAAATCGTCTATATGTTAGCAATGGACGTACGTGCGTATGAACAATCCGATTAGCACTGTTTCTTTATTTGTGTATCCCAGTTTTTCCATGGTGAACCTTATACAGCTTTTGGGAAAGAGGTTGCCACCACCTTAAAGTTTGTGTATCTTAAGTTTTCCATAGTGAACCTCATATTGCTTTTGGGAAAGAGGTTACCACACTTTGCTCCATCTATGGCAAAGAGGGTTCAAACCAACGAAAATTTGGGAAAACGTTACGAGAATCAAAATTAACAGGGTCTCTTCTTTGGGCTTTGGGGGTGGTCGAACGGTCTAATTAGTATGGTATCGACCTCAAGCTTGCAAATAAGAAAAAGTTTGATCTGCTGCCCAACCTCGTGACTTTTCCCTGGGTCCTACGGGTTCCAGCCACTGTTAAAGCCGCTGTTAAAGAACCCCTACCCGCAAGCGTATTGTTAGTCCCAAAATGACAATTCTGTATCGAGTAGAGGTTAAACCACGTTAAACAACATACACCAGTGCACTATTTATTGGGTTTTTTATTGGTTGCTTACGGTACACAATTTAGAACAGGAAACACCAATAAATCACTTCGAAATTTAATTTTAAAAAAGCGAAACACGAAATGAAAAACATTCACCTTTCCTTCTATTCTTAAAATCGCAACTATCAGGCCCCGATTAGACAAAGCATTCTTAGACTTAAGTTAAGGATTTACTCAAAATTGTTCTCCTTATTTTAACTAAAATATAGCCGTTTATAAATCTTTTGTTGTTTTAATGTATCAAATACACCAATAAGAACCTATGTGTAAAGTTTTGTGTTTCTGGATCAAAGATATTTCTAATAAACAGTGATTGAAAGTTGAGTAAATTCTTAACTTAAGTCTGAGAATGCTTTGTGAACTTGGGGCCAGAACACATATTATTTTTGTAATTCTCTACAAATGTGTAATGGAAATAATCTTTCTTAATGAACACAAGGAAAACACAAGCTTAATGCAAACGCAATTCTATAATTATATTAAAAACTATAAACAAGGAATTTTATCACTTAGTCCACATCTTTAAATACCACATCCCAATTATCTTATAGAGCTTTCAGCTGTCTGTATTTTCTGTATTAGACATTAGATTGTTTTCCCACGAGGGCTTAGGAGCAGCAATACGGTATATAGGTGTTTTAATACTCCATTGATAACCGGATGGACAACGTTCATTTAACTGGCGGCAGGTTATACAATCGATTAATAACGACTCTTTCTACTGGAAACAAGTCGGCGTTGAAGATTATAGACTTTCTTACAACTATAACTATATTATTTCTTTCCGCGAAAACGGAGACCTACATTCAGATGAATGGATGGGTGTTATTCATAGACGCACAAGACCGTTTATGTTTTGGACAAGGATGGAGTGGGTGGGGTTGATTGAACAACGTTACTGTGATTATTAATGAACCTCAGACACAAACTAGGTCATTTCGGGACTAACACATGGTTCAATTTTATTTCAATAATTCGCTTGCACGTAGGGGTCTTTAGCAGTGAGAGGAAGCCGGAGAACCCGGAGAAAACCCACGGGGTTGCACAGGCGACCCTACTCCTTGTCACGTTCAACCGGGGAATTGAAACTACGCCAGCTGACCCAATGACAGACCTTATGATACAGCGCGCACGAGCTAACCATTCGGCCATCCCACCCCCTTACGTCAAATGCGCCGATGAAGTTAGTGGGCACAGATTGTCGATTATGATGTATTTGACATAACAACCGAGTATGCTCTTGTTAGATTAAACGTTCTAGAACGGAGCTGAATAATTTAGATTATCCAGGGCATATATCGTATAAATCTTTGGGCGATCATCAAACCAAAAACCATCTAATAATTTATATTTCTATTTCGTAGTTATGTAGCCACATTCGCAAACAATCGGTTAAAATAACAACCGTAAGTGATTACTTTCTTCGGTCGATTTTAGCAACATATTTATCTTCAAGATAATCATTATTTAATGCACATTTCCGTATTGCTGACATAGATCTTACACAAACTACATTTACACGCGAAAAGACCAGTTTCCCTGCACAAACGTGACTAATGACCTAGTATCGACTAATCCAGTCTCTCAAGGGTCACACTAATGTTGGTAGATACGAAAGCTGTACTGCCAGGGGTGGAGACTAAGGAAACAGATCCATCTATCAATAATGAAATTGACCCTATAACTAATATCCTTAATATCCTTATCACTGCGCGTCTGTTTTCCGTAAATTGGTCCAGAAGTGATTATATTAGTAGACAAAATCTGTCCGACTCCGCCGTGATATATAGTACCAGTTCCACTGAATCAACTATATCTCATTCATCAGTGTACAATTCATTTCTTATCTCTGATTTTAAATTCTCACGTTGCCTGTGCTAATAACTAACAATTCCTACGCCAATGAAATTAGTTCGGCTTATCTGAGCAGACAGCTTACGTTACGAATTATTTACGTTAGTAAACGAGGCTTTTCTCGTCTTCATCCCGCGTTAGATGTGGATTTTGATGGAGGTTGTCATTATCAAGTCTGCGAAAAGAAGTTTTAGTGTTAAAAAATGGCATTAAATTGTCATTTAGAAATCTAAGATCCTAATTGATATCGAACGTGGAGATTATTAATGAGCCATTTTAACACACGCTTCACTAATCTGATTTCTTTAAACATTTTTCACCTCTAGACATTTTTATCCATTCCTAAACGATCTTTTGATTTCTGTTGAAAATATCAACTCGGATATTTATTTGACTATATTTCAATGATTACTAAGCACATGTTTAAAATATGGATTCGCTGTCAGCAGGTTAAGTGAGAATTTCAGGACAGAAACATTAGTTGTAACAGGGAATTGATTTTGCATGTTGTTTCACTTTTTTTTGTTCTTGTCTTTATGAAGCACTCTGTTAAAGAGCTTTTCAACATCGCAATTCTAAAAGTAAATCATTGATCTGGCTTTGTATTTTAAGCTTAGCTCACAGCCCGCCGTACATGCTACAACGGACAGTCTACGGAAGAAATTTTAGTATACCCGTGCGCGAGACTTACGCGTCACTTGCGTGCGTTCGGCACCGTAGAAGTTCACAGACTAGCCGTAGTGGCTTTTGGCCCTGCACATACTAAATGTTCATACGGTTTCCCGCGGCTCGTGTACAAGGTACCAAACCATAAGACCCGTGCGTGTCAAAACATGTACGGCGGGTTGTGAACTAGGCTTTGGTTTTATTGGGACCGTTTTGGATGTTCCGCATGACTCCCATTATACTTTCAAAAATGTCCAGGCCAGATTCACTTTATGTGTAATTTAACAAAAGAAAAGTGTCGAGCCAAACCGACTACCGAGGGAAACCGCTACTGCATTATATAATATATTTTCTTAATACTCCCATGAGCATTTGAGAACGACAGTTACTGTAATTGCATTTTGGAACCAAAAAGTTTTTGTTTAGCAGAGACATCTGATCCTTATTTATGAAGCTAAAGTCCAGGACGTGACCCCAGAGGTCATTTTAATTTGTGACTTTCGCATGCAAATAGTCCTTTACTTCTGTCCGTAAATGGTCTTTTCAATTATTAGTTCCGTTTCGTTCCATTTATAGCGTTTCTTCATTTTGTTTTACCGGGCATGTCATTTCCGCAGCTTAGCATATAATTGGACTTAAATCAACCTATTCGCGAACTCTTTTACACTTAACATCGATTGGTTGTCTTTGTAAGTAGTCAACACGAAAACAAAACAAAGCTAGAAAAGCGGCTGAGAAAGATCGCAGCTCATATCACGCACAGAAACGATATAATAATGCTTTATGGACCAGTGTTCTAGAACAAACGGAGGAAATCTATGTGGATAAGTACTCGATATTTTGTATTATGAATGTGTGTGGTGGTTGAATATTAGATTCACACTAATCAACTGGGTGTTCATTTCGGAGGCGGATATCCACAAACGGCTAGATCCATCCGCGCTCAATGTAATCCATGGCATAAAACTATTATACATTTTTACTGAAGATATAATGAGACATTAAGAGACTCAACTAATTCAAACATTAACGTCAATAAAAGCCACGACTGAATTTAAAAACTAACTCCACATGAAATCGCCAGGTTTCTGCTGCTGGTGCAGCGCAGTTTTGGTTATACCGGCGGCTTATACAACACTCTAATGGTGCTGCTTTCAGGGGTATAATAATTAATTCGCCATCTGGATTTGCTTTACAAAATTGTAATTTACGTCAGACAATTGTAATTTACGTCAGACATTGTATTTTCTTTCACAGAATTGTAATTAGCTTCACACAAATGTAATTTAATTCACAAAATTCTAGTATAATTCGCAAAATTCTAATATGCTTCACAATATTCTAAAGTGCTTTTCAAAAACTAATACAAAACAATAAAAACAAAAACTTGTCTTACCTGTAACGTTCTGACTATCCGTCCTATTGTCGAGTTTCCATATTTATCTTCTGCTGCCGCTGTCTGCTCTATCCGGATAATTTCCGAACAGGCATCATCGTCGGTTTTTACCGACAGTTGGGGACTTAATCCGCCATTTTCTATCACCTCCAAGTCATCCTCAAAGGATTTTTTGTTCGTCAGTTTATCTTGTGACTGACTGGTGGACGCCATCGAATCACCCCACAACAATGGTCATCTGTAAAAAAAAAGAAAGCCGGAATTAATTTCAAACGAGCATAAATACATAAATAAACAAAAATGACGAAAATCATAATGATACTGATATCATTCGATATACCCGATTGTAGGGAGCATCCGTTGAACGAAATGCTTAGGCCAATATCCTTTAAGCGTTTTCACATTAAACTGTCACGCTAGCATTTAATTAAACTGAATTCATTTGCTTTATAAAGACTAGATGCTAAGTAATAAACAAATCATGGCTTCAGTTCGATAAGTTACACGTGTCGTGCAAAATACAGTATACACCACTCTCTGTAGAACACCTTAAAGATCAACGATTTAACTCCACATCTACAGGAGCGATACGCTATTAGAAAAAAAAACCAGACAACAGTATGCGCAGTATGGACCAGGAACCGACAATAACGATATCGCCGCCATCTTTGAATTGTCATATCAAATATCGATGCGCGATTGTCCGCGGAACAAGCATGCCAAGTTTCATATCCACCGTACTTAAATTGGCGGAGCCTAAGTCCCTTTTCTCGAAAAGCGTCGACCATAAATATATGATTTTTTGATAGCTGTGGAATTATTTCGTTTTGCCCATGTAACCACGATACCAGGTATAAACCAGACATTATTATTAATAAAAAAGGAAGTAAGTTTAATCAAAGAGATTATCAAATGGTGTATACTCATAATTGATGAGCCTATTTGTAACATGTATGGACCGTGACCTGGGTATTAATGTATCGTTCATTACAACAAAATCTCCATTTCCGCCATGATAATTATTATTTTATTGCCTTCCATGCCATTTATCGTACATCAAAACCAAACAATACTCAATTTGCTATCAATATTCTATGGAACTGTTGGTTTGATCCCCGTCCAATTATAAAAGTGTATTTTATAACCGTTATAGGTAGTCTGGTGGCAGGCAGCTATGATTAATGACAGTGGAGTACAGGAACTTCCCTGGAGTGAATGCGACAACAAAATGAACTTCCAGCTTGGCATTTGAAGGAGTTAATTCCAAAGTACCTATCTACATTATAAGTACATTATCCGTGTATATAATCTCGATCCGGCTAAAGTATATTATATATATAGGTACATTTAATTTTAACTTGATAAGGGTTTCTAGAAGCTGGTGTCACGACTGAGTCCTTATTTAATTCAATATTTATAAATATCGCGATTTCATTCTACGGTGGGCGAAATAAACAATAATGTAGACTACCTTTCGCTACGAAGAATATTCTTCTAATTTACTTTAGAAATTCACACAGTAAACATTCCTTTGAATCACAAGGTAAGGTAAAGATATCCTTTTAAAAAAAAGAAAATTGCCAGCCATTGTAAGGTGAAATATAAAACTGCTTTCGTTTGAATTGCACGTCATAGTGTTGATAAATATAAAACTGTATATTATACACTGTATACTTTCCTTTTTAATCGCAACGATTGTAAGATAAATATAAAACAGACTACACTAGGTAAAATATAAAACTTCTTTCGTTTGAATCGCCATCCCATATTTGGTAAAATATAAAACTGTATACCAATAATATTTTTTGTAATCGCAGCCATTGTATACTAACGATGTTCTTTTTAATCAGCAGCCATTGTAAGGTAAATATAAAACTGTATACTAACGATGTTCTTTTTAATCGGCAGCCATTGTAAGGTAAATATAAAACTGTATACTAACGATGTTCTTTTTTAATCGGCAGCCATTGTAAGGTAAATATAAAACTGTATACTAACGATGTTCTTTTTAATCGGCAGCCATTGTAAGGTAAATATAAAACTGTATACTAACGATGTTATTTTTAATCGGCAGCCATTGTAAGGTAAATATAAACCTGTATACTAACGATGTTCGTTTTAATCGGCAGCCATTGTAAGGTAAATATAAAACTTTGTACTAAAGATGTTAGAATAGTCTGATTGAACATTGTGAACTATGTTCTGTTGTGTCTGTCTGTTGATGTGACGGTTATCAGTTAATGGCCAGCAACACGCCTGAAGGTAGATACTCAAGTCAATTGATTCAATCATCACTTAAAACCAATTGATCCCCAAGGCCTAAATTTCCTGTGGACATGTTTCACAGAAACTTGTTTATCCTGTGGGCCATGATCTGACCTTGGTGAAAGTTGAAGGAGTATAGGGTTTATGCATTATGTATATAATATATTATATAATACAGAATCTAGTTGTATGTTTTAAACTACACTGTACAGTACTATGTGTAGTGACTAGTGCCATGCATAAACCCGGCTATGAAATCTTTGGCTACACATTTGGGAAATGAATAGGGGGGAGGGTTGTTAACATCTTTTAATACTTTACATGTGTTGTTGATAGATTAAAACTCCTATTGGAAGGTACAAACAGTCAGCATCCATTAAGCCTAGAATATTCCCGGTTAATGAGCAAGCCGAATCGCCCCCCCCCCCCAACACCCCCGTAACAAATATGATTAAAACAATATTATTATTGGTGTAATATCGCCTAGTTGGTGCTGACGTGCCATAAAACAGCATTCCTTCACTTATTCCTGGTGTACAGCTGTTACCAAGTTAATCGTCAACAAAAAAGGGTAATTTTAACCTTCAAGATAAACGTTCACAGTACAGATGGCAAAGAAGCCAGCCCCGACATTAATGTTTTATTCAAGGCAGCTTAATAAACCGGCGACCATATTAGGTTGCTTTTGGGTGCAATCAACTCTCAAAATCATAGAACCTTGTATCATCTAACACTGAACCTGTATTAAAGCAAGTAGATTTTCATGTTAAAGCTTTGGGGTGGTTTCCATCAATAGCATAACTAGCCGATATTAGACAAGATAAAGCAGAGAAACATGGTTATATAAGAGCTCATCAGCGGCTGGTACATAGCCAGATGAAGCTTGTTACGCCATCTAAATGAACTCGTCATCTTTTATTGTCGGTGGTTAATAGCAGAGACTGGATAATCAGGAAGCGGGGTTGATTTAATATACACCCTTTTCGTTAATGTTCACACTTTGCATCCTGACAGGATATTTAACACGAAGCTTGTAAAGAAATGAAATGGGGTTTAATGTCTTACTTTTCTGCACCAACCGAGATACTGAAGACAGGCATACGCCACACAGTGTGTTATGAGGGAAATTTCACCCGGATAACAATACTTGAATTCCAACTGCCAAGTGTTCCGTTACGTGCACGCCAATGTGTATACGGGACCTCGATTTAACGTCCCAACCGAACGACTAGACACGCTGGATAATTCCTTGGAACATTCTTGGCCAACACCAGAATCGAACCCCGGACATTCTGATAAAACGTTGGATACCCAATGACATAATTGTAAAGATCCCCCAAGCTAAACATCTCCTGTATTACCTCATGGGCTGTAAAATTAGGTCCACAAGCAATGGCTCAATATAATCCAACGAAGAGAAGTATAGAGTTAAATTCAATCCCTAAAACACTGACTCCATCGCTGAGCAGAATTAGGATTTAATGGTTGCCTAATAAGCTAAACATCTCCTGTATTACCTCATGAGCTGTAAAATTAGGTCCACAAGCAATGGCTCAATATAATCCAACGAAGAGAAGTATAGAGTTAAATTCAATCCCTAAAACGCTGACTCCGTCGCTGAGCAGAATTAGGATTTAATGGTTGCCTAATAAGCAAAGACCGTACAAACTATGTTTACTGCAAGTGCTAGACAAGATGAATCCATAGCAGCAGCCCAATTTAAAAACCCGTTCAACCAAAGAAAGTCTAGAATTAAATCCAATCTCTAAAACTCCGAGCTGCATAAGGATTTAATGTTTGCCCAATACCGACACGATAAAGCAAATATCGCACAAGAAGAATCGTGTAAATGCTAAAAATATTTTGCAAACTAATGGTGGACTATCCCCCACGCTTGCTTCCTACACCCAGGAGATACTGTTTGATCTACTTGTCAACCACTTGGAGGTGAAGTTATCGTAACATTTATTAACATTTTTTTCAGGATAAAAAAAACGAGACGAATAAGTAGAGGAATCAGCGTGTGAGCCAGTAATAATTGATATATTATACTATTCAAATAGCCACAAGAAACAGACGATATTTGTTTTTTTACCTTGTGATCGATCACCAATATTGTTATAGAGGAATGGCGGATGGTCTCAATATCTAATAGCAATACTATTTGTTTTCATAATATTCTGCGGGTCACGAAATAGCTCAAAAATACAGAAACGACGGTTATACATATATTAAATTATACCGTACACCGGTGGATGGCCACTTGAAAAACAGTTTTAAAGTGCTCGGTAGCGCCATATTGGAGTTTTGTCAAATATCTTAAGGCTAAAAGTGTAACTTAATGAAGAACAGAGACACTTGAATTATTTCCAGATAGAACCATTTTAACAGTTAAGATACTATAGGTTTCTCTCTAAATGTCTTCGCTCCCGGGTATGTTTCAAGAAATGAAATACAACATTTTTTTAAACCAATACGTACATTAGTTTCTTTATATTGAAACCTAATGACAACACGGAAGGTTGATACGGGGAAAAGCCTTCCTGTAATATCAATATTCAGAGAGAGAGAGAGAGAGAGAGAGAGGGAGAGAGAGAGAGATATGAAGAACTGGGGTGTAAGTCGGAAGACTAAGCGGAAACACGACTGTTTTCTTAACACTAATCACCGAATCTTCTTAACACCAATCACTGAATTTTACTTTAAAGTAAAGTATGACGTATACAATGTTAATCCAACATAAATATTTTTATACCTATGTTTGATTATACTTCATGCGTGGAAGAACTTGCCGAAATTGGGTTGTAATGCTATGTATACGTAAGACATATTCTTCCTTAGATAAGAGGAAACGAGTATTGGAATTAAAATATGTAATTCTGGAAAATAATTGAACTGGTACGCCGACAGATGGGTGACTCAAGTCGATGACCCTGAAACACTCTTATGTGGGTAGCATCATATACATATCAG